TGCCGGTTCGGTCGGACCGCAGTCCGGTCCAGACCGGTTCAGACCGGCTGGACCGGTTCAGTCTCATTTTAATCCGGTTCGGTTCATGGTTAAGTGTTCAGCCCGGTTTATTATTTTAAGGACATTTTCAGTTAAATTTTCGAGATTATTTCAGTTCAATTCATGTCCAATCAGTTCAGGTTAAGTTAGTTCCGATTATTCCGGATAAGTCTAAATATCATGTTAAGTTAAATAGAGCATCTTAACGAAATTTATCAGTTAAGTTAACAGTCTGAGCATAGTCAATAGTAATTGTTTATATTATTTTCAGTTTGATCAGGCATCAGCACTACCGGTCAATTCAGCAGTTCAGGTGGGGACTTAGACTACGTATCACATTGAATATAATTACAGTACCATGTTTGAGGTATGTATTTCAGTTGAGGCATCCGCTCGGAATGGTCGCCGGTCCATTCTGGGTTCTAGTGGCCCTAGTCTGCCCACTAGAGTGTGCACATGGTGTCCGGCTTTGCTGGCAGATGAGGTAACGGTCAGGGTCACTTTTGAGTGACGATTTCAGGGTCACGGTTGCGTGACGATTTCAGTTTTTACCGGCTTGAGGTTGAGGTTATGTATATACTGATATCATGATGTTGTTACTATATTCGATGTTTTACATTAGTATGAGTTTCCACGGAGCACAGTGCTATAGTGCTCACTCCCCAGTTTTATCATGTTTTTAAGGTCAGGACGTCGGGCCGGGAGCATGAGCGTGACGTGACAGGGACTTCAGGATATTTATATTTTGGACTGTATAAATATGATGATGACTTACGCTTCCGCTTACGATATTTTGATGACTTTTGACGTACTCGTTTGACGAACTTAACTTTTGACGAACTTTTAAGAAACTTATGATTTCAGTAACCGGACGATTTTATTAAAACTAAAACAACGGTTTTTCTAAGTTAAGTTATGATTTTTAAAGGTAGCACCCGAATCAGTTTTCGCAAAGTAAAAAGGCTTAATTTTTAAAGACTTTGCGAATTTTAGCGCACTCTGATTTAACTATAAGGAGGGGTGTTACATATTCTCTGAACCTTCCTCGAGAAATGTTATCGGAACCAAGTGGATCTTCAAAAACAAGACTGATGAGTTCGGGAATGTGACACGGAACAAGGCGAGACTAGTAGCTCAAGGCTACACTCAGACTCAAGGGATTGATTTTGATGAAACCTTCGCCCCCGTTGCTAGACTTGAATCAGTACGCATATTCCTATCTATTGCATGTCTAATGAAATTCATTGTTTATCATATGGACGTGAAGTCTGCTTTTCTGAATGGGATACTACATGAAGAGGCTTACGTGAAGCAGCCTGAAGGGTTCAAAGATCCCAAGAATCCGAATCATGTCTACAGGCTTAAGAAAGCATTGTACGGATTAAAGCAAGCTCTTCGTGCGTGGTATGAACGTCTTACCATGTACCTTCTGGAAAAGGGATTCAAGAGAGGAGGAGTAGATCAGACATTCTTTGCTCTTCGAACGAATGTCGACCTATTGGTTGTACAAATCTATGTCGACGACATCATCTTTGGATCAACTTCTAAGAAGCTGGTCAATCACTTTGTGAAACTTATGTCGTCTGAATTCGAGATGAGTCTCATCGATGAACTTTCGTACTTTCTTGGACTTCAGCTAAAGCAAGGTAAAGATGGTATTTTCTTGCATCAGGGTAAGTATGCAAAAAACCTTGTTAAAAAGTTTGGTCTTGAAAACGCTAAATGTCCTCAAACTCCCATGGGCACTCATGTAAAAGTGTCCAAAGATGATGAAGGTACATCTGTTGATCAATCTCTATACAGAAGTATGATTGGTAGTCTCTTATATCTCACTGCTAGTAGACCTGACATTTGCTTTAGTGTTAGATTGTGTGCCAGGTATTAGGCTGCCCCCAAGGAATCACATATAAAAGCAGTCAAGCACATCATAACGTACATTGGAGGTACAACAGAGTATGGTCTATTCTACTCTGCTGATACGAACTTACATCTTCCAGGTTATTGTGATGCTGACTGAGCTGAAAATCTTGATGATCGAAAAAGCACCTATGATGGGTGTTTTTACATAGGATCAAACTTGGTATCTTGGTTCTGCAAGTAACAAAATTGTATCTCCCTTTCTACTGCTGAAGCCGAGTACATCGCCGCTGGAAGCTGCTGCTCTCAGTTGGTATGGATGAAACAGATTCTATCTGAGTATGGTATGAACGTTCATTCGGCTCAACTTTTCTATGACAACACTAGTGCTATAAACATTTCGAAAAATCCTGTCCAACATTCTCGTACCAAGCATATTGACATTCGTTATCATTTTATTCGTAATTTGGTGGAAGATGGGGTTATTGTGTTAGATCATGTACCTACAGATGATCAGCTTGCTGATATTTTCACTAAAGCTCTTGATTCGAAACGATTTTTGTCCCTGAGAAAATCTTTAGGAATGTGTGTTATATGACTTATGTGCATTGTGTCAGTTGCATTTATATATATATATATATGTATATATATATGCATATATATATATATATATATATATATATATATATATATATATATATATATATATATATATATATATATATCGTGTCTATTGCATATAGGACCTTTTCTTTTTTAGGCATCTTAGTATGTAGGTTCATCCCTGGAATTCTTCTCTGCTCGTTTATTGTTAAGTTTGTTGATGGGTGGTCTATGAATTCTAACTGGTCAGTTTGTAAGAGCTCGTCATGATGACCATTTTAATATACCTGTAAAAGCTGCTCTCGTGAAAATAGGCATCGGGCAACTATCACATGAGGTGCTTCCTTGATCACATGTGAAACGAGTTACATGTGTAATAATAATCGAAGTGTGATAGCTACAGGTACACATTCTAAGAATGAACGTTCTCTGGTGAAATAAAGTCGGCCATCCTGATATCTTCTCAGCTTGTTAAAAATTAGAACTTTTTGCAGGATGATTCACACCTCAAGTAATGGGCTTGACATTGGCGTATAGTTGATGTTAGTAAGTGAATTGGTGTGGAAGTTCATAGAACGGAGTAAGTTCATCATAAGTATTGGGGCTGAATTGCGGACGAAAATTTTGTTTTTTGCTAAGAGAAAGTGATGAATGAACTTATATTAATTCCGTGTGGTATAAAAGTGGGAGTAATAAGGGCTGAGTTATGCACGAAGAGAATTTATTTTTCTCATCATCTTGTTAGTGTCGAGCTCATTTCAAATTGATTTGGGGAGATTTGTGGGTCAATCAATTAATGGATTTTTTCAATATTCATGAAAAGAAAATTTTCGGTATTGCGTGTTAAGTATCTATTTTAGGCATGTGCATTAGTTTTTCTCATGGTATATATTTTTTTGTTTTTTTTTTTTGATCCTGTGCCCAAAAATTATTTTATGTACATGATTTGGCCAATATTCGTGTCTGAAACTTCATACGTTATATATGGTAACCATGTTGCAACTTGGTAACAAATCTTTTTGTTTTGGAGGGAACGATTTTTTTGCTGGCACTAAGTGTTGGTCAAATTTGAATTTCAAATCTACCGAGTTGAACCGTCTTCAAACCAACCTCGATAACTGAAATTGTGGTTCCCTATATCAATCATACCACCTTTTGCATCTCTCTCATATCTATTCCAATTTTTTATTTTTGTTATCTCTTCCAACTCTCTAACATTACTTCTTCACGAAATTCTCTATTTCTCGACAATGCCTAAATCCAAGCAGGGCACCGTGAAGCCGAAGAAGAATGTTCCTCCACCATCTCGGCGCTCAACTCGTCAAAGCCAAAGTTCCGATACTCCACCAGATCCAACTCCTTCAACCATGGAAACCGAGAACATTCAACCTCCCGTCAAATCCACAACTAGGGTTTCTCCAAGCCCTAAAAAATCCTCAATGACTAAAGCTTCACAACCTGAAGTCGGCGAACCCAGTGACAAAGGAGGAAAAGGTTCTCCATCTGTCGTCAAATCTCCAAAGAAGCGCAAGAAGGTCTATGAAACTGCCGCACCCAAAACCAAAAAGGCGAAGAAGGTCGTTCATGTGCCTGAACCTGCTGCTGGTATTTCTTCTCACACGAAATCTGGAGGAGAGTCATCTTCGGATTCTGATGCTGTTTCTGTTGAACGTGAGGTTAACATCTATGTTGCTGAATCTGAGAAATCTAACAACAAACATGTTGCGGACAAGGAACTTTCTCCTTTTGAAAAAGAACAAATCGTTGCTGAAGTCGAGGGTGATGGTCCAAACAGTCCTCTTACTGTTGGTAATGCATTTTCTCATCAATTTTATTCTTCTTTGGCTGAAACACGTTTTTCTTCCATCTTTTCTCAAATAAAGTTCCGTCCTGAGCGGACGATTGATAGCGAACATTATGAACAACTTGGGTTGCTTGAACTTCTGAAGAAAGTGGGTCTTGAGGGTTCAGTCACGTCTGTTGAGAAGTATTGTCCCCAGCTTGTTGGTGAATTTTATTCGAACCTGACTACCTTTGTCGTTGATCCGTCCTCAAAGAAGTTTCAGAAAGTGTTTGTGCGTAATAGTGTGGTTGAATTCTCCTCGTCTGTTGTGGCCTCTGTACTAGGTTTAGCTGAAGGTTCCTTACTTCGTCGTCTGACTGATGATCTTGATGAAGTTGCTCGCACGTTGACCGGTGGACAACTTACCAAATGACTTGCTCCGGGAATCTTTGTGAAAAGTCTGACTCCGTCTACCAATGCTCTATAGAAGATAGGCGCGTCAAATTGGACTCCTACCAATCACAAGCAGTTTATCACCCCTACTCAAGCTCGTGTTATATATCGTATTCTGAATGGTACCCCATTTGATGATGGTTCTGTGATCTTTGATGTTGTTGTAAGCTTTGTGGAAATTTCCAAGCCTCATAAGTTGATGCTGTATCCATCTACCATTCTCTTCAAGGCTGGAGTGAAAATGGATCCTCGACTTGGTGATAATTATGCCCCTGTTAACAAACCTCTTGCCCTTGCCAGTGTTAAGGTTGCTCCGCCTCTTCCTTCTCTTGTTAAGGCCTCTGATTTACCATCACAGCTTCGCGGATTTTTAAATCATCAAGTAGCAGTTTTCGCGGGGCTTGTAAAGAAGTTGGCTGATCAGCGAAGGTACTACAAAGAGGTACTACAAAGAAGTTGGTCGACACCAGGAAGCCGACTTGCGTAAAGTTGGTTCTCTTATGAGTCCTCTTAGGACTCTTAAACTTAATAACGAGTCCCAGTCGATTCCTTTAAGTCGACTTCCACCAGTCGACTTTTCCCAAGAAGACGGATGGGCGTAACGTAGTCTCCTGATGCTCACGAGTAGCCTGAGTCGACTCGACAATGTTTGCAAGTCGTCTTATCCTACCTCGAGGCAGCCAAGAGCTCCGACGACTTATATATACTTCAACACAGAGCCGGAAGAACTCCAAGCTAGAGAATCCATATGGGATAAGAAGGATTCTCAATGTTGACTAAGAAGTAGATAGAATATGAACTGTCCAGGGCATTTTGGACACTTCGTGTAAGTCGGCAAGGGCGTTTTGGGTACTTCAGCTAAAGTGTTTTGTTTCTATATAAAGGAGCTGAGGTACCTCCAAACCCTAACTTTCACTCTCTCTATTCATTTTTCCCAGTTGCTGCTCCTACTGAGCAAAGCTCATCTTCATCACTCTCATACTGACTTGATCGTCGGAGGCTCTTCATCGAAAACACCTCCGGTGTTGAGTTCGTGCAGGTGTTTGGTCTAAAGGCGATTTGGAGGCGGTTCGAGCAGATCGGAGCTCATTTCCACTGGTTCACGCAGATCCCGAAGTAGACCCATCAAATTGGCGCCTTCTGTGGGGATTTATTAAAGGGAACAAGATCTTTGCACCTGGTTCAGATCTGTTCGGAGATGGCGGAGTAAGAGGGATTGCAGAGGAATTTGTGTTGGTGTTATATACTTAAGCTTTGCTTTAGTGGATATTACACTTGTTATTTCTTGATGAATGAGAATTATGTTTGGTTAAATAAGTTCCACGTTCTGTTGTTTTGCATGTAGATAAGTACCGAAGATCACTATATCAGTTACTTGCGAAACAAGAATCATTGGTTCACAACCTAGATGGAATTGAACAACCCACTGGAACGGTTGTAGTGTCAACCGTACGGTTTGTCTTGACCGATTAGTTGCACTAGT